CGCGTCTAGTTTTTGGTTCATCAAAATCAGTTCAGCCTCCACCTCTGACAAACGTTCACTGGTTGATCTCGTCATTCCAGCAGGAACGGGATACGGCAGGTCGGACCAATTGTTGTGTACCAGAAAAAGAAAATCAACGGGGTAAACCGTTGCCCAGGTAATCAATTTTATTCCCAGATGAGCCAGAATGAATCCTAACAAGGGGTTTAAATACCCATCTACTAATTCTCAAACTAGGAAACAAAATCCTAGAAATCCTAATCAACTCCAACTAGGAAATAGAATAAAAAAAGATCCTAATTAACTTCAAATAGGAAACAAATAATAGAAATCCTAATTAACTCCTAATAGGAAACAAATATTAGAAATCCTAATTAACTCCAAATAGGAAACAAATCAGGAAAATTAAAAAGAATAAATATTAATTAAGCAGCCCGCAACCAGCCCACGAAGGTGGGCTCAAGCCCGTTCCCACCTTCAGTAAACCCACGGGGGCTTCTGCCCCTCTTCTTCCAAGCCCAGATTCTGCTTCATATCAGATGATGATGGTGATAATTATGCCATTCGTTTTTGCTGTCATTTGGAATTTGTAAGTCTCTAAGTTGCCTCCTGAGTCCCGACCAAATCATCCTTTATTCTTCATTTTAATGACTTTAGTTTTGATTGCACATATAGCATGCAATGTGGGTCATTGTTGAATATAAACAGAAGTACATAACTATATTTCATACTATACAATAAGCACATGTGTAACTTTGGCTTTGTGCATGAGTAAATGTCAAATTGAGATGACACCTATGATACGCAGTATTAAGTGTAGCCAATGATAGAAAAATGAATACTACACCCAATCTTGACTCCTTGTTTGGATAGTGGAGGTGGATTGAGTAATATGTGAGGCTTATTGTCATTGAATATATACCATAAAATGTAAAATTATGCGTACATAGGCTTGCACAAATGAAATTAGAGTAATGTGGATTTGTGATGGGAAGAGACACTCATTAGACTTCATTATGAATGGTTTATGTCAAGACAAATTGTGTCAATTTTATTAAATCCCTAGTTGAAAAGGTGAAAGGACAAAAATAAGAACAAAAACACAATTAGCACCTTGTTTAGACTCTATCTTATTTACTAAATGTACGAGAATGGTCCTAAATCCTAATATGTCCTTGTTGTATTATTGATCTACAATTACCTTTTAATTTCACAACTTATTTAAAGCTCTAAAACAATAATTGCATATTGGTATAATTACTGTTGGTAAATGACAATTTGCTTGTAGTGATTCTTAAATATGTAATGCTTTTCAAGAATGAGATCATTTAAAAAAAGATGAATATGATACCGGCCACCACTAAATAAATGTGAAATTTACAAATAGTATTTTCTTATCATTTATTTATTATGTTTCATTCTGACACATCAGAACGCCTATGACAAAAGTATTACCTTACCCTAATAATTTGTCAATACAATATTGAGATTTCCAACAGTTTGATCAAATTAAAACCTTAAAACAAACAGAAGTAATGTAGTCAAATTCAAAATTACAAATTAACGGTGTATATGATCTATCCATGACGTTGCATAATGACGCACCGGAACGACTATGAGGACGGTATTCCGGTGTCCCTTATTAATTTGTTACTCCCTCTGTCACATAAAACTTGACCAAAGTTAACTTACATGTAGAATAATAAAGTAAAAATTGTGTGGTTGAAATTTGTTCAAAGGAGAGAGATAACTTTAACCACATATTTGTTACTTCAAATGAAAATGACAACGTTTTTTGGGACAGCCAAAAAAGGAAATTTGGTCAAGTTTTATGGGACCCTCGTAGTACATTATTACTATGTCGAGATCTCATAAATGGTTTTACCTAACTGATACGTTAAAAGAAGACGGTCATAGAGGCGGTTTCAAACTTACGTCAGCGGTTTGACCAAATTAAAACATCAAAAGAAGTACTTTGGTTTGGCACAATTATTAATAAAGTGGTTGAAAAAGTAAAAGTTGTGGTTGAAATTTGAATATAATAAAGTGAAATGTTGTAGACCATATATTTCTTTCCAAAAAGGGAATTGTTACACTCATTTTGGGACAACCCAAAAAGGAAATTAGGACATTTAAAAAAGGACGGAGAGAGTACAAGTTATGGAGTTAAATTCAAACTTATAAATAAATCACATCTGTCATTTATTTATTACATTGCATCTTGACACAATCAAGAGAAATATGAAGACAGTATTACATTATCACTTACACAGTCAAGATCGCGTCAATGGTAAATTGGTTTGACTCAACGAAAACGTTAGAAAACCCAAATTAAGGAGTCAATTTTCAAATCGAATGAAGAGTCAAATTCAAATTTACATATCATATGTTCTTTTTCACCACACCTATTATCTTGGAAAGTGTAAATTGCTTACTCCTATATTGAACGACGGAAATGAGTTTATTTTAATGCAATTGACCTTTATTTGTTCAAAGATGATATCGACTAGCTAGATATTTAGGTTATAACATACTCCGTATTTAAGTATTGGTGACATAAATGTTTTGCTCATGCCTAACGTTTTTTCTCTCACATCTAAGGCTAACTACAATTAGGCCAGCATTAATGCATGGCGTAGAGTGTTGGGCGGTGAAGCAATGCCACATTCAAAAGATAGTGTGACAGAGATGCGTATGTTGCGTTGGATGTGTGGACATACCAGAAAAGACCGCCTGAGGAATGAGGTAATCAGACAAAAGGTGGGAGTAGCAACTATAGAAGATAAGATGCAGGAGTCTCATTTGCGGTGGTTTGGGCATGTGCATAGAAGACCGAGTGATGCACCTGTTAGACGACTTGAGGGGTGGGGAGAAGAGTCAGAGAAGAGAGCGAGGGGAAGACCCAAACATACTTGGATTAGAGTAATCAGAACTGATATGCGTCTTCTTGGGTTGGATGAGAGTATGGCTTTGGAGAGAGCAAAGTGGAGGGCGCACATCCATGTGGACGATTGATGTCTTGTCTACCTTTCCTCTCTTGTTTCTTTTATCGTTTATCTTCCTTATCTTTTTATATTCTTATATTATTTTTATCTTCTAGCTTTTTTATGCTCTTTTATTTATTTTTCTTTTATCTTGGTTATATTCTTGTGTTATTGTTATCGTATATTTATGTATCTTTATTTTATTCATTTTATCTTACTTTTTTTTCCTTTTCTTGTCCGCCTTCTCTTTTTGGCATCGATATCATAGATCGATTCATGTTAGCCGACCCCAAATTCTTTTGGGATTAAGGCTTGGATGTTGTTGTTGTTGTATCTAAGGCTAACTGCAAGTCTGCAACCCTGCAACCCTCTCTGTCAATAAATCAAATTCCCTACCAGTTTATACATATTCACCCAGTCAATTCAGTTTTTCCCTGCAATCCAGCACAGTTAATATAAGCACCCAACAATGTTTTTTAATTAATGCCTTACTTTTATTATTATAAAATATATTTTTCCCAATATGTTTGGAGAATAATCTTGATTTAAAAAGTGAAACAATCTGATGCAAAAAAAAAATCAATTTGGAGTTTTGTTGTTACTTTAGACTTATTTAAAAAAATAACAGAAAGATGTAAAAAAATCTTGAGCAGTTGAAACTTCAATTTTTTTAGTAAACTTTATATATGCAATATTAGTGTCATATGAAAAATCATAAAACAATTATGAATTTTGATTTATTTGTACCACATGTGTGGGGGGGAAAGTTACACGCTAAAAAAATATTTATTTCACCAACACTTAAATATGGAGTATATTATCACCTAAATATCTAGTCGATAGAATCTTTGAACGAATAAAGGTTAACAGAAATAAAATAAACCCCCGCCCATTGTTCAATATAGCATAAGCAGTTCACTCTTTGACTCGGTTTTAAATTGACTCCTAGAATATTGACCAGTAAAAGTTAAAATTTTAGTATGCAAAGATCATATTTTGTCCACCCTCTTTATTTAGTCATATACTATCATTATTTTATAATGTTTTAGCGCTATAGTGATAATTTAATACCTACTGATATCAAAACATATTTAGTCATCTCAATTGCACGTACATAAAAAAAATTATACAAGTGATTGCAGATTAGAATATTTTTACCAATGTATTAAGCTATGAATGAGATTGTTATATTCCTTTAGGATGTGTGGCAAATAATTGTTACAGACGAACGAAACATTTCTATCACCAACACTTAAATACGGAGTACATTATCACCTAAATATCTAGTTGAAATAATCTTTAAACGAATAAAGGACAATGCTATATCATTCAAATAAACTCCCGTCGTTCAATACATATGTAAACAATTCACACTTTGCCAAACAATAGGTGTAAGAAAAAGAACAAACAGCAAGTAAGTTTGAATCTGACTCTTTATTTCAGTTGAAATTGACTGATTAACTTCGACTCCTTATAACGTTTCCATTTGGTCAAACTATTAACACGATCTTGACATCATATTGTATTGGAAAATTGATAACTGATAGCGTAATATCCTCAAAATCCTCTTCATTGTGTCAGGATGCAACACAATGAATAAATGATGGACTTGATTTATTTATAAGTTTGAATTTGTCTCCATACTTTTGCTTCTCCAGATATTTTAGTTTCGTAATATCCTTGGTGAAAATAAACTTGATTTCTATTTGTAGCAATGAAAAAGGTACATTTTATCCGTGCATGGATCCCCAAAATATGTGCCAATGTCGTTTTATATATGAGCTATTTGGCACATAGTCGTACCAAAAGCCCACTCCAAGCATTCACACTAGGAAACGCTTATAACTACTATGACATTTCCTTAAAGAACACTTAACATATAAGTCTAAACAATTAGGTTATACGAAGAACCTACGTCTGATCATATTTAGAATTTTAGACTTGCTAGAATGCTAAGCGCCCAATTAAGCGGGTCCCATTTAGCACCTTTACAAAAGAGGTTATTTTAAAGATTACCTTTTTATCCAAGACAAGCCACTCATTAGTTGAATCATCATGAACAGTCCCTCCCATAACTAAATTTGTGGTTTGTCCAACCCTTCCTTCTACCTTTGACACTTCTGCAACCCCATCAATAGTCAGTCTACATTCATGAAAAGATACTGAAAATATTCAAACAATGGAGAGATAAAACAAAAAATATGAATACCAAATTAAAAGGGAGTGGATGGAAGCCCAAGGAAGGGGTGATATCTACTTTTTTAATGTATTCATACATCAAATAGTTGAACAAAAATGAAGATGAAAAATTATATAGAAATACTTGATCTAACTAAATATATTGTTGATCCTAGTCTACTAAATATAGATAAATTAGTAACACAAAAATAAATCATTCCCTCACACCACCTCCAAAATCCCAAAACCAAATTCACCAATCCATGTTTACCCCCTCAATGGTTTACCTCAGGCAATCAAATATATTTCTCTAGGGGTCGATTTAGAACTCGGACAAAGCTAGAGAAAGAAAATAGATAGGAAATTGAATAGAAACGGTGGAAGGCAAAAAATATGAGAGAGTAAAAAGTTGCTTCAAAGTTAAAATTCTAAATAAGCTATAGATATTTGTTCAAGCTCGTTTTAATTAGATATTTCAAGTATATAAAGACTAAGAAAGCTACATATATACAAAATTTTGTTGAATCTTACAGAGTATTAAAATTTAAACTTCCCTTTGTATTATACAGGTAAAACAAAACATTAGGTCAAATTTAGCTGTCAATTTTAGTTTTTTTTTTGTTTTATGATTTTGAAAGGTTTATGATGTATGTTGCATAATGAACTAAATAAATCATACATATTCTATAAGTTCAAAACTTTGTTTTTAGTTTCCCAAAAATTAACACAAGAATATTACAAAAGACGTTGGTAAGTCCTAGGAAATCATTTCATTGTTATCATTTTTCCTTTCACTACCATTCTCCAAATTCCAACCATAGAAGACTTGTTACTTAAATTCCATCTGTTTAATATTAAGTGCTATTTTGGTTTTTGGATTTCAAATAATTGTTCCACAAATAACTCATTTGGTAAATTCAAGAGATCATGTAATGCCAACTTTAAACTTTTTCCGCCTCTTCACAATTCAAAATTCAACCAATAATAGTTTAAGTATAACATCGCTCTTTTTGCAAGGTTACAGATCAATAAGGTCATCTAATCAGTCTTTTTCCAAGTGTATAATCATTACGATTGGCACAAAATTAATTACTACGAAAACGGATGAATTATGCAGCTGATTACAAGCACATTGAATAGTGAAGGAGGGAGTCCAGAAAGTTCGGGGAATGGTAAGTGTTTCTCACTTTACTCCAAAATTGTCCTGCCATGTCTCCTCAGCCTCCTCCAATTGGGGTAAATTTGAGAAATCGTTTACCATTCTCAGAATTTTCTTACCCTGAACATATATTATTATCCTAATTACGATCATTACCAATTGTCTTTTTTCATGTTTCTGATTTTCACCTAAAGAGAGATCGGGACTTTATTGCTCAATATAATGAGCCGATTCACCTAAAGACTCTGGAAATCAGATAAGGAACATTTGAATTTAGACTAAAATTGAACCTGAAATTGCCTTGAGAACAGCTTCTTGCGGGGGATTCGGATTGCAGTCATCTTGTAATGAAGAGCTGAATTCGTTAGCGGAGTAGTTGAGATTATGGGTCATAGAGAACAGAAGATCGTTTCGGGCCTTTAAGGGTTTACAGCCACGGGCCGAGTGTGGATTCCGACCGGGGAAGAATGAAGGAGAAAGCCGAAAGGGATCGGTTTCGATGGAAGGGTCGCCATGGCTTTGTTTAGAAGATGGTTCTAAAGGCGGTGGAGTTTGCAGCAGAAATGGGGATTCCAGATAATATAACATTCGTCTTTGAATATTATCAAGAAGATGGTTCTTCTAACATTCCTCTTTGAACTTTGAAGGGAAAAGGGGTAAAACACCCTCAAGTTATGCTCACAAAATTAATTTTTGAGCAAATATATCCAAAAACCCTAAAAGGAGGGCAAAATTCTAAATTAATACAGGCAGCAGACAACAAAGGAAAAAGTGGAATAATCTAAATTAATTTCTCAATCATTCTTGATCTACTTACCCTTATACCTACCTTATACTCATCATGTCTGTGAAGATTTTTTGTCTGTGAATCCAGTTCACAGACAAAATATGTTTTATTTTGTATGTGCAAAATCTGCATAGACGTATTTTGTCTGTGAATGGATTCACACAAAAAAACTTGCACAAACATGTTGGGTATAAGAAATGGGTATAGGGGTGGGTACAATTTCTCTATTTGGCCAAATAAACACAAGAATAATTTATTGGTTTGAGATTCAGGATGCTATTTTCATAAAAAATCTTAATTTTATAATGTTTAATTTATAATTACTTGATTATCGGTATTCAATATTGTAAAATACCAAGCACTATTAAATATTACTTCCGTCCCAAAAAAACTTTGTCATGTTTAAGAGCCCGTTTGGTGATCATGTTTTTCGACTAGTCAGGCTTATCAATCAACTTTTCACTAAATACGTGACTTTTGATTTTATGCGCTGAATTTTGTAATAATAAGAGAGAACAAGGTTGTAGTTACTTTTATGGCTGTATTGATTAAAATTACTGTAGATGATCTTTTTAGTCATTTTTCATATACGTAATTATTTCTTTATTAAAATATATTTTAAATATTTTTTTTCACAAATCAGCAGAATCAGCCAATCCAACCACTTCAGTCTGAACTTCATAAATTTCAGCAGAATCAGCCTATACAGCCGATTTAGGTATTATCAAACGGTCTCTAAAACTTTGACCAACTATACTTTTTTTATTGGAAATTACGAGCCCGTTTGGTAACCCTGATATTAGCTTTTCAGGCTTATCAACCATTTTTTTCATCAAACACGTAACTTTTGGTTTCACGCGCTCAATTGTGTAATAATAAGAAAAAAGTAAGGTTGAAGTTACTTTTCTGACTTATTAGCTGAAGTTATTGTAGATAATCATTTTAGCTATTTTTCCATATAATTTTTTCTTTATTTCATTAATAAAATATTTTTAAATATTTTTTCACAAATCAGTAGAATCGGTCAATACAACCACTTCGATTAGAATTTCATAAATTTCAGCAGAATCAGCCGAGTCGATTTGAGTATTACCAAACGGACACTACTTATAAGATAAAAATGATACAAAAATATATAACTTCCATAATACTTCGTATTATATACATCAAAATCATGGCCCAAAATTTATGGTTGAGGTTTATTCCCTCAACCCGCCGGCCCAACACGTAACCTGGGGGTCTCGAATGGGTGATGAGCAAGTAAATGGAGAAACAAACAGGAAATGGCTGGATAAGCTGTCTTTATTCACTGAAGATTGTTACAGTCCGAAGGGCCGAACGTACAATAGTGTGCTACGAACTGATTCTATTGCTAGAGTGCTAGAGTACTAAAATGCGAACCCTTTACAGTGAAATAAATGCTACTCCCTCTGTCCCCCTGTTATTGTCCCATTGCGGTTTACGATGCTTGACCGACGATAAAGCAAACAAATCCCTGTCCGCACTCAAATTATTTTTAGGAAAAAAAAATTACATATTCAGAAACTACATTAAAAGATTTACAAAGTCGCAAAAACCAGAATCAAATTTGATAAAAAATTGATACATAAAGTAAGAGATTAAGAGTGATTTGTGTTGACCAAGTGAATAGGAAATGGGACAATAACAGGGAGACGGAGGGAGTACTATTTATACCGCCAATGGGTGGTTGGACATGTTGACGTGGCAAGCTGTGAGCGACATGATCCCAACCACCAAATCTTATGCATTAAATGCGCTTCCCGCTAGAATCTTGATTTCCCGCCACTGGGTGGGGACGTTCATCCCCAAAGGGTGGGCCCCTATCTTCTACTGGATTGGCCACCTCCCGTCAATGGGAAAGGGGACGTTCGTCCCCATGCACCTGATCTATCCTTGATCCATTCTTGAGCCGCCCTTGATACCCTATCGCGGGGTGAGGACGTTCGTCACGTATGCCTTGTAGGGACCCTGGGCCTGGATGCCCGCTGATGATGGAACACGCACGTCTCCTGACCCTTGGGTCCTGGTACTGGCTGGTGATGGGATACGTACGTCTCTTGGCCCTTTGGCTTTGGGCCTCCTTCTTGGGCCGTTGATAAGACGCTCATAAGTTGATGGGCCGGCCCTTACCGGGCCATTAACCCAACACAAGTCCCCCACTTCTGATGTTTCTTAGCCCTTTTGTAAGTTTCTCGTTCTTTCCTCCGTTCTTTGCCATGGCTTCTATTGTCCCCAGGCCATCTCCCCGTGGCCGTCCTAATGGGCCACCCGATGATGGTTGTAACAATGGGGACGACCTTTCGGTCTATAGGCAGGGGATGCCCCCCAGCCTCCCCGTTATTCTCTGAATTTCCACCTCGTTCGGCGTCAGCACCAACGTCTGCTTTCTCGTGAGAGGGATTCGATTCCTCGGCTATTCCCCCCCCCCCCCCCAACGAGGCTGGGATGCACGGTCCATCCGTCATCCCATGCGGCACTTGCCTGGCCATGTGGTTGTCCACCTGGACTCTGTGTCCGCAGGCTTCCTCTTCCCGCTGTTGCCCTTCTATGTCTCCCTTTTTAGGGGCCTGGGCATCGCCTCGGCGCAGCTCATCCCAAACTCCCACCGGACCATAGCCGGTTTTATTATTCGTTGCCATGATGCGGAGGTGGATCCTTCCGTGAAGTTGTTCCTGCACTTCTTCTGACTCTCCCCCAATGGTCAGACATGCTATCTTAACCTTGTGGCCCGCCCATGGAGAGTCCTTTTTTCCAATAACCCCCAAAACCCGAACGGCTGAGAGGAGAGATTCTTCTTCGCCGAGGTTGGCGCTCTCCTTCCCTTCTCTGATCGGACGAACGCCTATCCGGTCAAGTTCGAGCCTCCGACCCTGAGTTCTGCCGAGCTGGAACAGACCGCCCAGATTGCCGGCCTGGGGGTTCAAAACTTGCGGCTGCTTGTGAATGATACCAATCTGAACAAGGCTGGCATTAGTACTGACAGTCCCTGTTTCTTTAACAATCAAACAACCATATGCAGTGAAGAAGAAGCAGATAGAAAGATATCGAGATCATCAATGCCTTTGGTATACCATGTAAGATGTCCGCTGCTTTCCCTCGAGAAGGAGAGCATCGGCAAACCCTAATCTCTCTATCTCTACGCCTCTGAACTCTCTAAAGCCTAGATTGTTTTGGTATTTAAGGTTCTCGTAAGTTAGCCTCCTTTTATAGGAGAAGTTGGCTAACTTACGGGTTACAAAGAAGCTAACGGGCTGATACACATTTGTGGCCCATATTACACGTTTAATTAATAACTACACAAATACAAAGATATTTAATTAGATTGGACACCATAAAATATTCTCAACAATCTCCCCCTTGGTGTTCAATCGTGTTGAATCAGCATTAAACCTCAACTGGAGCACTCGGTAAACAATCTCGAGGTTTAAATCCCGAGATCACAATCTCGAGGTTTAAATCCCGAGATCACAATCTCGAGGTTTAAATCCCGAGATCACAATCTCGAGGTTTAAATCCCGAGATCACAATCTCGAGGTTTAAACCCCGAGATCACAATCTCGAGGTTTAAATCCCGAGATCACAATCTCGAGGTTTAAATCCCGAGATCACAATCTCGAGGTTTAAATCTCGAGATCTTAATCTTGAGGTTGCCTCAAAGAATAATGGCGAAATTCACCTGCAAAACAAACCTCAGAATATCGAAATCTTCAGAATTTCAAAATGTTTGGAACATCGAAAACTTTGGAGTTTCGAAAACCTCAGAAAATAGAAAACTTGTTGTGTGAAAAGCATCAGAACATCGAAAACTTCTAAAAACTTTGATAAGCAGGGAATCATTCAAAAATCTTATAATGTAAAGCTTCGATGAACTGCGAAGAATGTCAAGCTTCGAAAAATTCTGAGTTTCAAGAAGCTGCAAACTTTGAAACATTCAAAAAATCAAGAAATTTTTAAAAATCTCGAAATCTTTATAAATCTCGAAATCCCACATTTGTAATTCCGAAATCCCAAAATGTCGAGATCCTGCAAACTAAAAACTTCGAATTTTGAGAAAGTAAAAGCTGTTCTGAAAAGCCCTGAAGGTCGAGATTCTCCATGTATCATTTTCGAATCAAAATCCTTTCTGTAATTTCGAGAATCAAGAATATCGACATCTCGATTTCGAGATCTTCAAAACTGAAAGTTTACAGAAATCGAAAAAGAAGATATGCTGCTGGATCGCTATGAAATGGCGATTCCAACAGTATAACTTTTACAGACATCCGTTCACAAACAAGATTTCAAAGGCAAATCTCGAAATAAAAGAGAAACAGAAGAAAACAGAGCAGTTCTTCGAAAAAATGGCAGATCCGAAAAACGTAGATAGATTCAACCTGTTTCACGCCTCGGCTCTGATACCACATGATTGTCCCTGTTTCTTTAACAATCAAACAACCATATGCAGTGAAGAAGAAGCAGATAGAAAGATATCGAGGTCATCAACGCCTTTGGTATACCGTGTAAACTGGTTACTGCTCTCCCTGGAGAAGGAGAGCAGCGGCAAACCTTAATTTCTCTATCTCTACGCCTCTGAACTCTCTAAAGCCTCGATTGTTTCGATACTTAGGGTTCCCGTAAGTTAGCCTCCTTTTATAGGAGAAGTTGGCTAACTTACGGGTTACAAAGAAGCTAACGGGCTGATACACATTTGTGGCCCGTATTACACGTTTAATTAATAACTACACAAATACAAAGATATTTAATTAGATTGGACACCATAAAATATTCTCAACAGGTACGTCTTCATCACAGCCCGGGTTTTGGCCCTTCGGTCGTTTTTTTTTCTTCGGCTCTGACCCTTGTGATTCCTTTGTGCAGGCCTTTTTCCTA